AAAGGTAATCATTTTCTAGCAATACTCCAACTTTATCATATATGCCATTCACTTGAATGGGTAAGAAATCTCAAACACATGGCCTTAGCTTTGTGAAAATCGAATAAAAATGTCGATTACAATATTCAAGAGTGCACTTTATCGAGTTCCGTGAGACATTTCAGCTAGCCAACATGCAACATTAACCATTCAAGAACCAATTGCCTAAGCATAACACAAAAGTTCATCTTGAGCTCCATAACTTTAAAACTCTTATGATAATACATACAGGCTTATGCATTCCTTAAACTAACAAATTCTACTGTAACAATATCGAACACAAAAGGCAAACTCATGTGTTTCAAAATGGTGTGGTTACTACAGGATTGGCTTTTTCAGCGGTGCTAGGATGCTTCCATGTGCCTGAATGTGTAAATTCCTTCTTATGAAGATCATTCAGCTCTCTATCGTTCTTAGTTTACTTCTGTTCGCAATATCGGGATCAATTTTTTTGCAATATATCAAACCCTCACATTATTTTTACCAATATTTACACCTTGATCACAATATAGGTTGGCGTTGGTTAAGCTGTCAATTCTAAATATTCAACAGTTCTGTGTTTGAATCGATTTAGATTTGAATCACGTTTGGATTCAAAGCCCCACATATAAACTGGGGTTTTCAATACAATAATGGATACTATGCCAAAATATATGGCTAAAAATGAAAAACTCGAGCTTCTCGGTATGATAAAAAAGTATACCGACGTGGTGGAAAGTAAAAAAACTGATGCGCAGCATTTTTTCAAGAGAAGCGTCACACAGCTAAAAAAATGCTGGGAGAATATCAAGCAAAAGTAAGTAACATTTATAATGTACTTATCGGCCATGGTACCCCACAGCCCCAATAAGCTCATAATAATTATGACAGTCTCATGAAAATTTCTTATTAGATGCAATTCATGTGGAATTGAATAATATAATATAAATTCATCTTCTATTTGTCCTAGAAAGCGTAAGCAGTATACTGCAGAAATTCAAAGTCGACTGTTGACGTTTGGAGGACCTCCGGCTTCATTGAATTTTATACATTAATGTAGTGGTAGAAAACCCGTACGATAGTACTGGGGTATTCACGAAAACCAGTAAGAAAACATGAACAACCTTTTTACGTCTAAAATTTAATGAACTCTGTCAGCTTTTATTGGAATCGTCAAGAAATTCTTGGAAGCCTTAGCGCTCCCAAGGAGGGGATAAAGAAGGTAATCTCTTCACGACTTAAGCTGATTGTACGAAATGAACGTATACATCAAAAATAGATATCTGTAACTTTGACAGGAGATATTGGAAACAATAGCAGCCCGTTCATGGCGTTTGTAACTATACTCGTTCCACATTGCCTCTACTGGCCAGGATAAGCATAGATAGATCAGATCTGATATGCTTACAGTTTAGTTTCAGTATGATTTCTCTCGCTGTGCCGCTCTGATTCAGTCACAATCCATATAGTCTAATCATATTGGACGAAAATATACCCTGGTTTGCGAAATAATTGTAAGGTCTGGTTTTACTGCTGCAAGTTGGAGGACCATAATCCCTTACAGCCCTTTCAATTTCCCTTATTAGACACACTCAGATAATAAAATGTTATTTATAAAACGACTCAGGAACTTTGTACATAGATCATTCATACTGTAAAATATTGCCTGGCTTTTCCAAAATTTGGCGGAAGTACCCTAGGAAGCTTACGTTACCACTACATTGCTTGCAAGAGCCAAAAAGATATTTTTGTATGACATAAACTAAGAGACATTCTAGGTATCTAGGTCTCCTCTTTCTCGAAAAGTGAGTCGTAAAAAAATATGAGAGGAGAATACACGCTAAAATTAGTTAAACAGACATTTATAAATATTTGTTAGAGCCTGATGAAGTAACGCGTAGTGTAGCCGTAACGGTAGACACCGCAGAGCCCACGGCAGCAGCAGCGTCTCAAGGGCAAATTGGGTAGGCCAAAGAAGAGGGGGTGCTGCTGCGAGGATGAGGAGCTACAGCTCCGAATCCAAAAACTTAGAGAGTCCATCCTCCAACAGAGAGGATTACATAAAATTAAGAAAGACACCGCGCAGAAAGAAAACAGGCTTGCTGCATTGAGACTTATGCAAGCTGAACAGGAGCTGCAGCAAGCCTAATTCTATTGTTACAATATGCGGGTTCTATTTTTTTTTATTATTATTGATTAAAATTTTATTAATAACCATGTGAATGTCTGTCATTTTGTTAGCAGGTGCATCCAAGATCACTGCTTGGACAGCTTTTTTTACATATTACATTTAAACAAGTTGTAAAGTTTGTATAATATCCAGTTTTTCGCTGACGAATCACAGTTGTTCACAGCTTAAATCATATCTAGGAGTTTCGGAACCTCAAATGATACATTAGGATAGGAGCTAAATAAATCTATTGAAAATTATGCGACAAATCGACAAATTCATTTCTTATGTTAATAGAGTTACCAAAATTACTTTACGATTCTACGGCAACCGTATGTTGAAAAATAACGTCAAGTAGGTTGACTCTGCAAAAATCAGTCAATGAGGTCCGTACAGTTAGTCCATAGATATTCATTCTCTGTCCAGCGGTAGTTCATCTGACATACTTCGATTTCTTCATTTCTAATTTTCACCCGTTAACAAATTATGGACATCTTGTGGCTATGATGTGTATGTATGTGTGTGTGTTCTATCGATTATTTTTATTACCTTATCATATATTTCATACATGGGAGTATCTGCATTTGTTTTTAGCTAAATTTTGAAAACTTCAATATCAATGGCGTTTATTTGAAGGCCGCCGGTTAGTATAAAATAAGGTTGAAAGTCGAAAATAGACAATACAAAGTGATACGACGAACGATATATATATATATATATATATATATATATATATATAGGTGAAACATTAAAGCTTCCGCCTTTTGTTGGGTACTTCGACAAAATTTAAGCAAAGAGGACTCTTTATACTTTTTTTAATTCTCTCTAGCTTTCAATGGACTTTGCCATCATCATCAGGAGCTGCAATTACATTGATAACAGTAGCAACAATAGTGTAAAATGAATTTAAATTGACTTAACTTACAGTAGTATGTGAGGATGTTGCTAATTGTTGTTTACGTTCAGGATGAGGGAAAAACCCAGTAACATGGTGAAAGCTGGATAGATGGTACAATGGTCAAAATTATATAAAATATACACAAATGTGTGACAAGAACAAGTTAAAAACAGATTAAAAATTATTAGAACATGAAAGCATTACATCGTGAAGCCACTTGATGGTTGCACAAAATGGTGGTCATGGAATAATGAGTGAGATGAACCCTTTGACAGAAGGGCGAAGGTTGTCAATGTCTGTGTAGAAAGATGGAACGAATTGTGGGCGTGTGCCACGTTGCCAAATCACTTCAGATGATGTGATTTTCAGAATGTTATGTAAGAAATTGTTAAACCGACCAGAGGCAGTTGAATTAACTATATTTTAATTGATGGGAAATTAAATTAACAGTTATTACTAAATCGTGAGGAGAAAATTATTAGAATTTGAGTGAAATGAAGTTTATTGGTGGAATCGGCCAAGAAACAGATTCCATTTATGGTTGTGAAGAGTCAAAATTTGGGGAGATATGTAAGTTCTCCAATTTTTCGCAGTTTAGCAAATATGAGTAAATGACACTCAGTTGCTTAACATCTGTCTTTTTGTTGATACAGTTGTTATTCATGAAAATGTGGGACATTTCCAGGAATAAACGTTTGGATAGGTGTTTTTCTTTATCAAGGCGGAAGCATTAATTTTTCACCTAACTGGTCTGGACGACAATGACCACGTCTCAAGTTATATATATTATATGTATATATACCTAATTGGGAAATTGGCAAATTTTAAGGCTTAAGTTGACTCTTTTGATGATAAAATCAAGCTTTCGGCATTCTCTATGGAGCCTTCATCAGGATTCTGAAAACACAATCGTGATGCTAGCAAAGAAAACAGGACAGATTTAAATTGTCAAACAACTTACTCGTCGTTGAGGTTGCAGCCACAAGGTGTTTCAAAACGAACGTAGAGAAGATAGAACTTGTAATAAACATGAAAACAAAAGGACGGAGATATTGGGCTTGTTGATAACGACAGATACCTGTGTTACATGTTAAGAATATCAATACACCCGAACATATTAAAAATTATTAAACGTGAGAAGACATTTTAGTGAAACAATCGGAATGCAGTATCTAACCTCCTACATCCGCTACACGTGGAGAGGGGGACGGCATGGAAAGATAATGCGTCGACAGATGACAAGTGATTGACGCGACGGACCGTGGAACTGTAAACCTCAAGTTTGGGTATGAAGTATACGAGGGAGGATCGATAAACCTCCACCCAAATTACTAAAATGCTGAATTATTTTGTTTTGGAAAAATGTGTAGTTCATATGAGTGTACGAATGTGAGATAGTGATATTTGAATCATATTCCATATTTTAGCTCACAAATGGATGAATTGATTTTACTTTTCTTTTGGTTAAAATTATCCCCTGCCCCCTTCCATCGTACCAATTTTCTCCCCTTCAAATATAAACGCGCTCCCTCTTCGGAATTTTGCTCCGCCAAATCGCAAGGTCAGCTATCGCGATGTCGTCATCTTAGCCGGTGTTGACTGGAATACCTCTGATGATTATATTCAAAGGTTCTCGTGTTCTCAAGTATCCTTCTAGCATGCCTGTTTTTCCATGATTTCTGATGCTACACCTTGATAACCGTCATGTATCTCCGTTGTGATAGTCTCCTTTCGCTGCGCCTCTCAAACACTTCACCAGCACACAACCATTCGGAAATTTTACAAGAACGCACTGCACTCACACGCGTTCCTTCCACTATCACCTTTGTGTACACATGCACGTAGATCTCATCAAAATCACATTATCGCACTCAGACCAACCGCCGTGTTGAATGGATGATTCGGATGCATAATTCATTGAAAGTGTTGTTGCACAAAGTTCTGTCTCATGTTCAGTCCACTCTGTGGGTTAGTAGGTATTTCGTTGTTCACCCCCGCCTCTTCTCTAATAACGACTTCGTCGCCATGATTTTGGTTACATCTAATTCGAATATTATATAAAACGGTACTTGCTATTATCACTATTAACGAATTCTCTAACTTTAATCTGAGCTCGCTCCTCAAACAAGGGAATATACCTTTCCACATTCCGAACATCCTTTCGATAGTCTTCCGAGTTACTTCGTGTTAACGGTTGTATCTCCTTTCTGGATCAGAGTTTGTTTCAATGAAAGGCGTTAAGAGGTACGACCTGCAAGCGTACCCATTGTCACCCAGCAGTATCCTATTTAGCTCGTTATTCTCAAACCGAGCCCATAAGGAGCTTCTGTCAAAGATGGTGTTATCATGGGTGCTTCCTGGGTGATGGACGTCTATGTCCAGTATTTCAGCGCTCGGTCCAACTACTACTGGGGTATTTATGGACATCCATCCCTTTCGGTTCCTATATACTTCGCCTATCTCACCAAATGGATTTTTGATCTTGATATGGGTGCAATCGATGCAGCCTATTACGTTAGGAAAGTGGGATATTTCATAAGACTGTATTCTGTTGGCCATCATTTGTTGCTCACAGTTGACTGTTGCACACGGTAAAGGTCAGTAACTACCTAGAATTTCAAAACACAACACTTTAGTACCACGTAGGTAGTTTTGTTGTAGGATTCAGACAGATGCAGTGAGAAATTGTGTGAGAAAAATATATTAAGTTGTAAGTTATTATTAATCCACTAGTCCACTTTTTTACCCACACCACCGGTCATAAACACGATTATAGGTATGTGAATATATTCATGGTAAAGTTCGGTCAATCTGAAGGATATTATGAAACAGTTTGTTTGTTTTGACTACGCTGTATTTATTATTAAAATTATTATTTATGTTATTATATGTTTGTAGATATTTGAGGTAAGTATATCTTCTTATATACCTATTACTTTTAACTCCCCTGTACTTATTCTTGAACGGGTAAAGTGAGTAACAATACACATGAGTATTGAAAGAGGCAATATTTCTAGAAAAGAGAATATATCCGTGATACATATAAACGTAGATCTTGAAATGTCCCATTATAACGACACATGGTAGTGTTGAATATTGATAGTTATTGAAAACAAAACATGAATCCTCTTCAAATACCATCATGGTGGGATGGTAGTACAAAGTGCTAGTCCCCAAATATAGATATTAAATATGCAATTTTACGTCAAATAACTTTACAAGCTACACATATAATATGTCGGTATATTCTCAAAGTGAAACAGATGTACGAGCCCCTTCCCACTTCAGTTGGCCCACTTCAAGATTTGTACCAAAATATGCCTTTATAAACTAAACATGACGAAACTATTTACTTCTAAAACAATTTATTTTCTCAAAAACATTTTAGATACACTCTTGCCGTGAAAAATACATATTTGAAATCACTTAGACCTATAACTAATAGAACATCTGAACAAATAAACAATGTGCCAATAAATGCGCGAAGTTAACAAAGCAACAATTGAAAGATTACTATTGGGTAACATCACCTTTATTTTTTATTACGGCTGTAATTCTTTGGGGCATAGTGTTAACCAAGTTTTGGCAAAAATTTGTGTGAAACAATTCCATATTTGTTGAAGCTTTTGTCTCAGTTCGGTGATTGTACGAGCAGGATGTTGTTGTAGAATCATTTTCATCTCGTGCCACAAAGTTTCAATAGGTGACAGATCTGGACTGCTAGAAACCCATTTCAAAAGTGGTACATTATTTTCTTCCATCCATTTTATAGCCTTTTTTGAGGTATGGCACACTGCACCATCTTGCTGAAACACAAAATCTTGGCCGGATGTCAAACATTCTTCCATCACTGGTAAAAGCGATTCTTCTAAAATTGCCAAATATTTGTTTATATCCACATTTCATCAATAAAATGAAGTTTTCCTACTCCTTTTGATGACATGCTGCCCCAGACCATAACGGATGCTGGAAATTTCACTTTTCTCTCCAGACAGCCAACATGGAATGCTTCATTTTTTTGCGAATAACTGTACTGCGACTGTCACCAACACAAACTTCGAATCGGGCCTCATCACTCCATTGTATTGCACACCATTGTTGAGGTGTTCATTGCCTATGTTCTTTAGCACATCTAAGCTGATTTTTCTTTTGCAGTGGAGTTAATAGTGGCTTTTCTTTGTCCTATAAACAAGTTGTGCAACTTTAGCGTTTTTGCTTCACTTTTTTTTATAAGAAAACTTACCTTGCAAGTGCTAAATCCCACTTTGTGGGCCTCTCTATGAGTTGTGGACCTCGAAATTCTCCTTTCAACAGCGTCACTCCACAGAGTACTTAGTTGTAAATAATTGGCTGTTTTTCACGATTATTGTTCTTAATGCTCTTCGGTCGGCATTTGTGATATTACTTTTTTTCACATATCGTGGCTTAATATTAACTGAACCAGTTACGTTATATCTTCTAACAATATTTCTCACACTGTACAGCGATAAGTCTAACAAAGTTGCAATTTCTGAGTTTGATTTCCCAGAATTAAAAAATTTAATTATCAGTAACCGAATTTTCTCACTAATAACCTTTCCTCCACCCATTTTGAAAACCTTAACTACCCAAAACTATTTTAAACGTATTCTGACAGCTGTGATACATAAAAAAAATTGTCATGGCTTTTATTTTTCACAGCCACCTATGCGTTATAGACTTATTCTGCATTGAAATGAAAATAGGTTGATATGCTGTAATTGCAACATGTGTTATTTTTATGCTGCAAATTTGATTAGGTAGTGATAAAGTTGGTGTTTTCTACTATATATTATCAAAATATTCATTGTTAATATTTTGAACCTATAGCACCCTACTATATTTTTATTATTTTTGTTTGATAAGAAAAAAACTAAGATTTCAATAGTTGGGCCAACTGAAGTGGGAAGGGGCTCGTAAATTCAAACAAACTTTTCTCCAAAAGAAATGCGGTCTGTTAGAAATATATATACAGAAATAATTTATGTAGGATATCTTAGTTAAATATGCAGTGCAGTTGTTTGAAATAAATTAAAATAATCCGCAAAAAGAAGGAAAGTGGAATCGAGCAGAAAATAGGATAGGTAACCCGAGCGATACGTATTTCTGCTTGCTCGCTTCATCAGCTTGAATCCACTACTTTTCTTGCCCATTATTTTTTTATTTGTTATATACTTTTCTCCGCATAATCCTTTTCTCTAGTTTTTCAAAATGTTAGGTCTACAGGTTCTTTATCTACCCTGGATGTCTCCTAGCTATATAATTTTATCACGATTATTGTTTGCTTTCTTGGCTGATGAAACGAGCGGGATTTTAAAAAAGCTACCAGGATGTATCAAGAAGATTTCTTTTTGCTATTAAATTGTATCAAACAAAGATTCGAACGACAAGGCACATCCTAAAGAAAAGTTATTATTAAAAAGAAGAAATAGAAAATAGTATTTGATAACAATAATCTTTTTCTGGGCACTACTTATAGTTACTACAGAGTGAAATGTTTATTTCCGTCCAGACTGAGTACGCACCGAGCATGTGCCTCATTTTGATGTACCGCAAAGAAACGGATCAGGTCGAGCCCGAATCCATACGAATTCTTACGCCTCGTTCAGACGTACACACAGATGTGCTCGTGCGTCCTTGGGTTGCCTCATTCGCGTTCGTGCTCTTATGCGTCCTCTCAACATACATACCTGAAAGCTGTTTGTTGCAAAAAAACGTGAACCCATCAAAAGCTGCATCATGGGCGGTATTGGCAACCCCTGATTATTTAGTCTTCTCAAAGAAGCCACCATAGGATAGAGAACGTGAACCACGCAATCCTTTGTGAATCGAAAGCGTTTTTGAAATTCTTGGTCCCTATAATGCTCCAGCGGATTCGACCTATCTCGAATATACCTCCTTGGTAAATGAAGTAGAAGGTTTGAGGATCTCTGGGAGTGCTCACCCGATTCAAATAAATCACGTTCTGCCATTTTCGCTTATATTTGTCACTGCAATAAGAATACGATATACACTACAAATTTCAAATTTGAACTGATGTTAAAATCGGTTGACTCAAGAGCGAATGTGGAGGAGGTACGGGACGAAACAAAGAAACCAGCATAGCCTCAAAGAGAGGCAATATCACGTCCTATCCTGTTTGGTAGAGATGGGCGGCTATTGATAAAAACTAGTTGTGGATTAATCGGATATTTTTCAAAAACTTGCATTAACAAATTTAGACGTCGGTACAGAGGGGAAGGTGGTAAGCATTGGAGATTGAAATATGAATACGGGTGTATATCCAGGATGCCTTACAGTTAGAAAATAAATTGAACTTTCTGATCTAATAACCGCACATTATAAAATAACGTGTTGAACAGGCCGATCTACGAAACCGGTTATCCAAATGACAAGTTATCGTTGCCCATCCCTACTACCTACTATTTTGATTCATGAATAGATATAGGAGGTTAAACTTTGTGGATTAAACTGCATAAGGGATATATGTTTTCATATGAAGCCAATCCTTTCTTTCTCGTCAGATAACCATGTGATTCGTAACGTTCAATTCGACTCTCGGTCGAAGCATAACTACCGAGCTTTAAGGTGGGTAATGTAATATGTTACACAGCGAGCAACGAGGCGCTCGTTGCTCGCTTTGAGTGCTCCACCCGCCTGTCGGTTTTTCGCCGTATCCTTTGAGTGTTACGCGGTTCGGTCAGTTCGCTGCAACAAGTCGTGACGAGCGCACCAGAGGAGCGCACGCACACACGTTGTTCATTTCGTTTATTTGTTCGTTTATTATTAGGAATAAGGAGTGGAACAAAGAAAAAACTGTATTTCATCGAAAAATATAAAGAAGAATCGGTATTGTGGAATCCAGCTCATCCAGAGCACTACAACAAATTAAAAAAAGAAGACGCCTGGGATAGATTAGCTTTGTTAATGGAGAGTGAAAGAAATACATGTAAAACGAAAATGACAAGCTTACTGGCGTGACTGGCGTGATTGAGGAGGGAAAAATGGAAAATAAAAAGATCAAGTGGTACAGAAAATGCTTTATTCTCAGGTGCTGAAGAAGTATATCATAGTACTTGGTTTGCATACAAAACTATGATGTTTCTACTGGATAGAAATACACCTGTTGCCACAACAGATACTGTAAGTTTTATTTTAAGCATAATTTTCTTGCCAACTGACAGACCCTTCTTGGATGCAATATTCAGCAACTTCATTACGAATATTATGAGCAGTTCTTGAAGCCCTTCGCGGTCTTATTGCCAAGGGCAACATACTCGCCATATCATTGTTACTTTCTCTCCAGTTTCCTAATCTAACTATGGCATTTGCTTCTTCATTCAAGCTACCCGCAGGGGTATATACATGAGCGTCATTACCGTTTCTTAAAAAATTGTGAAGTAGTGTTATTGCTGTTACAACAGATGTCGCAGTTTTTGGTTCTAACAGCATTGGTTTCCGCAAAACTCTAAAAACTGCAGATAATAAGCCGAACGCATTTTCCACCACTCTGCGAGCTCTGCAAAGTCGGTAGTTGTATA